CCCCCCCCCCCCCCCTCTTGTAAGGAAGAAAATAGTGATCGTTATCATGGGTGAGGGGATCCGCTTACTGTAGCGTTGCCCTTGATCTGTATTATGTAGATTTGTTCTCCACTCAGACGAACACGGGAGTCGGAGGTGCGATAGCATTGTGGGGGCCGTTAAGAGACAGGCGGCACCAGGCGAAGGTGACAAGATGGGTCGCGCCGCTAATTTTGACACAAGGTGATGTAATGAGTGCGCTCTTTGTTTCTCTCAGTTTGCATGACTTTCCCGGGTGACATGATTACCACTATTGATGAAATAAAGCGGTTAATTATACAGTTTGATGCCCACACAATTTAACATCAGCCATGAGATCCATTGCACCAGGGGCCAAATGTGTGAGCATAAATAGATATAATTTACTATGCATTATAAACATATCATGTTTATAATGAAACATAAGTTCAAGCACACAAATACAGTCTTAGATTTCAGCAATGAAATAACTCCGTGTATTGCCACGAATTTGGCGATTACGAGACGCATCATGATACAGTGGTTATGATCAATATATTGCGATACTGTGGCGATATATAGCGATTTAATTTTAATGTTAGGAAAACTGTCACACCGTTCATAAAATCAGACTTTTTTATGCAATCAAAACATTGGGATGTGCATTTATCAGTCCCTGTAACCCAACATCACAGCACTACTTTCTGTGCAATTTGAGCACCGTCAGCCTCTCACTATTGACTAAAAAGAGACGGTGTTTTTTTGAGAATCGATACAGTATCAAAAAATATAATACCACATTACTCAAGCATATCGATATTTTGACCCCCCCCCCTCCCCTGGATACGACTGCCTGGTAATAACGCGGTAGACGGCAGACATGTCACAGCCGTGCCTGAGCCACGGCACACTTCACTCCCGTCTGCCGCAAGAAACCTTAAGGCCCAGTGAGTCAACTCAACGGATTTGAGAGATTGGACAAAAGCACCCTATTAGTGAGGGCGGCCTCCCGCAGTCACCACTGTGGCGGGGCCCTAATGGCTGCAGAGAGACACATTAACATGTCAGCGAATAATCCAGTTCAAATTCTTTGAAAACCTATTAGCCTGGGTAAATAACTTTTTACATCAATGCTGTGCTGCACACTATGAATCCTCTTTTTCCAGAAATAAAGTCAGCGCGTTAAATCACAGTCTCACAAACATGTGACTTTCTTTCTACAGAAGACAGAGAATGTGCCATTCTTATTCAAGTGGTCTTGCTATGTGTATATTGAGTGATGCTCGGCACATGCATTATGCATTCATTGTGCTCAGTGGCTTCTTCTCCGTATAGTGTTGACACCGCAAGCAGAACGATTTATCAAGAAAGAGTAAAAGAGAAAATACTTCGGAACCTTTGGGCAAGGTATGTAAATTCATCCATTTATCTAAGTTTGATGACAGTGGAGTAAAAAAAATAAATAACTCACGATGCCGCTGAACTTTAAGCTCCCTGAGCAGGTAAGTGCAGCCAGTCATGGCCGCTGCACTCCTGGCCTACCGCGGTTCTTAAATCACACCTGTCAGACTGTGAAAACAAGTGGGTCAGCGGGGCAGGCATTGCGGGGGCGGGGGGGCCGGTCGGTTTGGCTTTGTGAGGGGAATGACGTATGAATGTCGGGGAGCCGGAGAAGTGACTGGAGAGGGCACAGCAGCCGCTGATCTTGACTGGCAGAGCACGGGCAAAACGGAAGGTACTTGTTGGCTGCAGCTAAACCGCGAACAACGTCACAAAACACTTACGCTGTCAAAGAAAAGCGGGGGTTATTTTGTCCCTCTTCTGCATGTATAAGACACTAAGATAATGTAAACAGCCGTGCAGAAAGGAGCTCATCAAGGTATTGTACATGAAATACTGCCGACGACTTAAAAGGGGAATATTTTCTCAGGTGTGTCTGACAAGTGTTCAAAGGTGCCAGAAAAGAAAAGAAATCACCAGACGAGACAAAAGCAAACCTACTCAAGAGATCAACAGAGACGCCGTGTCTCAGTCACAAGCCGCTTTCATAGTCGGACACATGTAACCTCTAAAGCGACGACATACTCCAACGTCGATTCAGACGGCGTCGTGTTTTCTTTCTATAACTGCACATTGTTATTTCTGCTAAAAACAAATGTGCATCTCATTCACAATACCGCCCTCCAGCTTTGCAGCGTTTCATAACAAATCATAACGCTTCATTCCCAAATAATGTCGGCTGCATCGCAGGCTTTTTCAAGGTCCACTGGCTTTTGAGAGTCCTCTGTTGAGACGATGTGACAGACACACTGTGGGTCACTGTACGCCTCAGCTTGCTTGTTTTTTTTTGTAGTGAAGAGAGTCCGAGCCGCCTGTCAGCATCTACAGTATAATGTTTAGGTCACCACGATTGATTGTTGGCAACTTGCAGCGGGTAATTGCTAAACAGGTGACCAGAAAAGAGTCAATTAGAGCATGCGAATGCTATCAGTATATACTTTCACCTGTTTCTCTGGTCTGTCATTGGTAACGGCTGCTCTTATTAGAGGGTGAGTAAGACTTGTTTAGCGGACATGTTTTATTCTACACCCCGACAGTGTGACCAGCTATTACAGTGCATACATGTCTGATACATGACACGTTGGAGTCACGTTTGAAAAATACCCCCAAACAATTCAGAGAACTGTCTTTGGCATCTAGTGGATCCTGATAAAGCCCAGTAGTTAGGAAAAAAGGTTGGCATTGTACATTTCTGCATTTTATGGATTCGGTCCAGGAAAGTGACGTAATACAACATGTGCCACGCAGAGCAAGTGACGCAGTATGTGAAGCGGCCGTGAAAGTTTCTTGACGAAGTAACGAGTAAAAAAGTCCACTAAGGGTGAGAGTGGTGGTGAACGGCTCATACAAACACAGGACTTGCACCCTGGAGACCGCTGTTCATTTCTCTTGTTGTGAAACCAAAAGTCAAAGTTGACTTTACGCCTGTTGGGTAACGTTAAGTGAGAAACTCCGCTAAGGGTGGTTGGTATTTAGTTGTGCTAACTTTAATTGTGTTCCATTGTTACGTTACATTATTAAATTAACTTAAATGAACACAAACCATGATCTTTTTTCTATATCATGCACAATATTACTTTTCTGTTTTAGTTTCTTTTTGGCACTCATGTTAGTTTTACTTCTGATACACTTTATATTTTTACTCTTGTTTTTAATCCTAAATTGTTTTATTTTTATTTTTCTATTTTAGTTGAATTTTTTTACTATATTTACGTTACTCATTATGCTATTCTATATTATGTCATTATTACTTTGTATACACTTAATATGTATTACTCTATTGGTCATATACATTTATATTTTCACTCTTTTCTTTTTGACTTATTATTCCGTACACCAATGTTATTCTCCTGGTGACTGGCTTGCCTGGTAGCATTTACATAACTTCCTACAATTATTAAGTGTGAATACAATGAGGTCGACATTAGCAGACACAACAAACACAGCGCTGTGGTTCAAATGCTGTAAAATATACTTCTATTAAATGTATGAAATGTGCACTAAATATGCAGCAGTTTTACAATGTTCACCTAATTACCCAATCATAAGAAGAGAGACATTTTGAAGTTCCTCTCATGTCTGCTAAAGTCAGTTTGGCATGTTTTATAGATGTGTTTTCAATAAAGTTTTTCCTCTCCCTCTTCAGAAAATCCCTTTCATCCGATTACCAGCCAAGTCGCCCAGATTTTTCAACTTTCACTGATGCCATCTGCTTACAGGATGAGAATCAGGGAGCGCTTCACTTACGTAAGATCAACAGCAAAACAGCAATCAAACGACAGGCAGAATATGTAGCTGAAGATAGACGAGATGCCAAAAGTGTTAAGTGTAGCGTCTTGAGAAAGTGAAAGAATATATTATGAAATGGAATAGAAAGAGGGTCAGAGGTATGGTACTTATAGAGTATATATATATAGAGTATATTAAGTGCTTGTTGAAGCTACCATTTTCCTCCAGACTCAAACCAAGGTGTCATGGTTGTGTGTATAAACACAGAAACTAAGACATAGTCCACTGTGTTGGGCGTGGTGGTTCCAATTTTTCCCCACACACACACATATACTGTACTAGTCAATTCAACACATAACATTTCAGGATTTGAATGCAGGCAAACATGTCTTCGTTGTCGTCGTGCTGCAAAAACGCGGCCTTGATTGGCGGAGACGGTAGTGAAATTACCATGGCTTTTGTTTTCCTACGG